ATATTTTCTGTGATATTGGATGCATTTTGACATAATTTCTAAAGTTTTGTTTCATACATATTGTTGCTACAACTGCCAATGTTATGGTCCCAGTTCATGTGTATTGAATGCTTTGTTTTATTTGTATCTGTCTAAAAAGGAAGACGCTCCGTCACGCTGACTGTCGGATGTCTGATACTTAATATGACTTTATAAGCGAGGTACTGAAAGTCCTTGATAAGCTCTCCGGTGCTCCATATATGGGCTTTGAAAGGCAACAGTGTATGTGTGGGGGCAGCCAGCACTGTTTGTTGATCTGTCAATTGAAGATGGCTGATTTAAATTTAAACCAAATTAGCATTCTCACTTTGACAGTTGCACTGTCATCGTCTCTCCACCCCACTAACACACATCCACACACACATATTTGCATGCACACACCCCAGATGCTGTACTCCCACACAAACAAAGTATGTGGGCTACAAAAGCAAACTGTTTTCAGTGTGGGGTTTTTTTCTTCTTGATGTCTGTGACAATTAAACAGAAGGGACATAATTGTTTATTCTGTCACATGAAACTGGTGGCAGTGGTCTAACCTGAGTGGGAATGCTTGAAAGTGAACCAATTCATATTTTAAGGTCAATAAGGACGATGCTGTATTGTCAAAAAGGTATATTATCTTCAATGGGTCCACAACTGCAAATTAAGAGCTGCTTCTTTTGTATTTTAACTTGTATTTTAACTTTTAACATGTTGTGGTGTTTTCTTGATAATACAATTTATTGATTTTATGATTTAAACTTGACCATCAGTTACAAAAGAGAAGAGATTCTGATATGTTGTCTAAAGTCAGTACCAAAGAAATACATTTGATCTAATCTAGAGTAGCTACTGTAAACCAATTGTCTACACAGTCACACAATCAGTCTGTAATAATAATAAAAATAATAATATGAGAGTATAAGTGCCTTCTGTGTATCTTGATCCACCACAGGCACACTACCAGTCACAGTATAGTAGGTATATTTTAGGGGCAGTACAGGGATTTCCACTGGGTTGCTGCTGCAGTAAGTTACAATAACTGTTTTGGGTTGATGTCAAATGTAAGTGATGACATAAAACTCTCATGTCTGATAATAAAGAGATGATCATCAGACTGGGAATTTTTAAAAGGTAATCGGGAGGAAAGTGGCCCTGCTGGCCTGCTAATGGTCTGTCAGTCCACCTGTTTGGTCTGGACCGACATATATAAACAATTGTTGGATGGATTGCCATGAATTGTTGTACAGACATGCATGGTCTACAGGGGATGAACCCTACTACTGTAAATGATTGTTCTGTCCTCTGGTGCCACGAGGTTGCCATTTTTGGTTTTTCAAATATTTCGAGGACTCTCAAATGGATTGCCATTTGGTACACACATTAATGTTCCCCTCCTCGTTCCTCTATGGTTTGTATTTAATGTTAATTAGTAATTGTTAGGATGCTTACACACTATAAATGTAAATGTATGCATGTTAACATTATCATTGAGAGCTTGTTAGCATTGGCATGAAACTCTAAGCCCTATGTACAGCCTCACATAGCTGCTAGCCCTATGTACAGCCTCACATAGCTGCTAGCCTTATGTACAGCCTCACATAGCTGCTAGCCTTATGTACAGCCTCACATAGCTGCTAGCCTTATGTACAGCCTCATATAGCTGCTAGCCTTATGTACAGCCTCACATAGCTGCTAGCCTTATGTACAGCCTCACATAGCTGCTAGCCTTATGTACAGCCTCACATAGCTGCTAGCATGGCTGTAAACTCTTGTTTATCCCACGTGCACATATTGTTGTGTACTTTGGTCTGCGGCTGTCTTTTCTACTTTGTTATAGGCCTCTAAGTTCCAATGAAGGGGAATCTTAATGCTACTTGTGATGAAGTATACTGGCACCTTAAGGTGGTGGATGGGCGTGTAGCACTGCTGACTATCATGCAGGAGACCAGAGTTTATTCTTGTCACAGACCAAAAGTCAGTGTTCAGCTTTTTTTAAACTGTAACAATGACTTTTCTCTCACATTAAGTTGCCCAATTAGTGTAATGCCTGAGTCAGAAGTGTTCTTCAGACTATGGTCAAACAGCATTAGAAACCTCCTCTCCGTTACAACGTTGGAGTTGGAGGGCTCTCCAACAAAGTTTGTAACTTGTTGAACCTTGAAGTAAACTGAAAGTGCCGTATAATTAGACTCAAAATAAATTTGAGTCTACACAACCGTATTCAGCAAATCACTCGTCGTGGATCCGTTCTATTGTCAAGCACAGTTTTACACTTAGCAAATCACTTCTTCAACAAAAACCACCTCAATCAAGCGTAAAAACGTTTTTGCGTTTTATCAAATGATGCCGTTTGTGATACTTTAAAATCGAATTGTCACCCACAATGCAACATTCCCGTTCTCTTGGCTCTATTTAATAGACAGCAGCATTTAGTATTAGTAACACCTGCTCACCATATCCTTCTTGACAGGCTTTAACGTGCTCTGGTGTTTACACAATATGTCCCCAACTATTTCACACAGCCTCCACTAAACGATGATGAAACAGTTAGAAGGACAATCCCTGTGAGAATTGTGTTTTCTCTCTCTATCTTCTCTTTCTTTTTCACTTCTCATCCACCTCCTGATAACACAGTCACACACACACACACACACACACACACACACACACACACACACACACAGAGCATCGGGGCATGTGTTAAATGAATAGAGCTGTTATTGACAGGGTCTATTGACTGGTGCGTTGATTGATGTGAAGGATGTGTGTGTGAATGTGACACTCTGAAACTATTTAAACAGCCGTCTCATTACTCACACCGTCTGTTAGATGTAGACACGTAGCTACAGGTTTGAAAAGCAGAATTGATGATCTATCAGCGCCCTTCTTTCAATTTTATCAATTTGTATTAGTATGTGCAGTAGTATCGGTAGAAAAGTATGAACACAAGCAGTGGTAGCAGTGATGTAGAGGTGGTGGTTAAACAGCATTAGTGGGTGTAGTACATCTGAATCAGAAAATAGCTTCCTTTGTGCATTGTGTGAGTAAAACAAAAAAAAGTATAAAAGCTAAAATGAGAGAAAAGAAAGAATAAAAGCGACACAATAAAATATCAGACCAAAACAGCAAAGCAGGTTGTAGTTGTAAAAATGTGTTTTTTTCCTGATTTTTTACTCAGGGCATACTCAAGGGATAATTGAGTGGAAGTGAGATGTGAAAATACTACGATGATACATCAACTGTTGAAATGTGCTCCGCTATACAAATGGCCTTACATATTTGATCAATGAAACAGCTTTAACATTGTAGAACATGCATCAACCTGTTTATTTACATCTGATTCTTGATTCGTTCAACATAATACATTTAGTCATTCTTAAGACATGTTTTAATCAAGACTACAGCCATGCTTACGCCTCTGTGAGGCAGTGCTTTCAGCTAACATGTGTTGACATATTTCACTCAGAACCACGAACGTAAACCTCTCGGTGGCTCTAGTCAACCTGCTTTAGCAGTGTGATCTGGACCAGGGATCGTGTGAGGTTGTAGCCCTGATGTCAAGAAGGCAATTGTGTAATAATCTGCAAACATGTTATGTATTGAAAATGAAAGTATTGTAGTCCCATTGTCCGTGTGACATGGCTCCCACTCCATGTTTTTATCAAGCTTTTGTATGTGAGGTATTTTTGATGTTTGAAAATAAAGAAATTGTAATTGGTATCCAGTGTCAGTAGCAGAAGTGTCAGTGAACGGTTCCCCTGATATCAATGAATATTTGACACCCTTAGCTCAGTAATATTCCTAAATTTAGATCACAACATGATTGAGTGTGCAACATCACACAAACACACCAAATGGAAACTGTATTCCACCCAGTATTATCTGTTTTCTGTCTGTCAACTTTCTCCACCCACGGAGGGACTTTTACGAGATCAAACAGAGCATGACGATGAGGGGGGGTTTGAGAGGCACACTTCCCATTGAGGCCACAGGAGGGCACACAATTCTCTGGGGACCAATAAACAGTCTTAACAAATTGTGTAGTATAACAATATTGATGAGGGAAACATTCGTTAATATGAGCAATAGCAGCATGTTGCCTTTATAACATATTATTACCAAACAACACCATGCTGATGGATCATACGTTTTAGGGTTTTTGTTTATTTTTCAAATCAGAAATCAAATCAATATGTCGTCATTTGCAGACCACTGTCACTTTCGCAAATCTTTTTTTTCACGTGTGTTTATTTCACATGGCCCGTCACCACCGCCTCTCTATATAAATACTGCTGTAACTATCTCCAAGTGACTAACTCGTCAGTGAACCAAATCTATTCTTTCCTACAGAGTCAGATGAGACCGACACAAGTTTCCGAGCCCGTGCACTCTATCTGTGGCGCTCAGGAGTAAATTCCGCTCCTCTGTCCGTCTCATTTGAATGCGGTTGTGCCAGGGCGGCTTTCTCTCTCGCTCAGCTCGGTATAACTCGTCACTTTCCGATGATCATATTCCGGAATCGAAACCAAATAAGGAGTATGGGGGACGTTCCCCTGCTTACCGGATTCAACCTTTTATGGGTTAAGAAGCTCAACCGGAATTCCTCTTCTGATATCAGAACGCGATTAGATAAAAGAAACACCAGAGTATTTAAAATAAAGAGTGTTTAAAATGAATAACAGCTGTGTTTGTGCACTGTGGTATATTCTGTCTCTGTGTTGTTTATGGCAGTTTATCTCTGTTTTGCGGCGAGTGGAAAGAGTCCGGGTTTATCTCCTGGCGCAGCGGGTTCTCCATTGACAAGTGATTCCCTTTGAAATCGTCACGGAGGCTGCCGGCCAATCGGCAGCGGCAGCGCCTCTCCCTCCACCCCACCCACTCCATATTTGGGTAATGACGTTGCAGCCCGCATTGAAAAGGTTCCCCATATAAACATACTAGAGCCAGGGCCGCCGTTCCCAAAAAACGAGTCACTTTACACGGTGTTGACTTTATCGCCAGAGCGCATGAAGCGCGCCAGAGACACGCTGAGCTCATCCTCTCACACCCGGTGACAGACAAAGACATGCAGTGGTGACCCACTGCCTCACTGTTGACTTTATTATATTAGCTTAAAGGAAAAAGAACAGAAAGACAGTACAGAGCGAGCAGACCCGGTGCTTTTTTTCTCTCCACAATGACGGCTAAAACTTTGGAGAAAGTGCCGATGAATCTCGGGGGGTTCTTGCATCCTGAGAGCGTGTACTCGGTGGATGACATCAGCTCCAGTTTGGCGACCTCCGTGGCTATCTTCCCCAACAGCGACTTAGGAGCTCATTACGACCAGATCAATGTCTCAGGTAAGATGACGCATGTGTAGAGAATTTTAAAGACAAATTGTCAGTTGTTCTAGTCTATGAAAAGTTGTCCATATGCTGAGTGTTACTGAGTGCAAATCATTTTACAAAAATGCTTCAGAAAATGTTTGTTTTTTTAAATTGTCTGTCATAATATAAAAGTTCGCTCACATGTTTGATATACTCGCAATATGGGACCAGAGTCCGTGCGTAACGGAAACGAGGCGCACCGGCCTTTTCTCACTTAAAGCCCACTTTCCTGTCAAGTGTGAACTTCTTAATGAACCGGGTTTGTGTTGCCTCCCTAACGAGCCGTTTTTGTTTCTGTTGGCAGATGGCTTGATGAGCGCAGACATGAGCGTCGAGAAGCGCTCTCTGGACCTCTCCCCCTACTCCAGCGGCTTCTCTCAGCCCGCATCCCACCGCAACCAGACCTTCACATACATGGGGAAGTTCTCCATCGACTCCCAGTATCCAGGTAACTGGAACCCCGAGGGAGTGATCAACATCGTCTCGGGCATCTTCAACGTGGCCCAACCGCCGCCTCCTCCTCCTCCCTCCTCTTCGGCGTCCTCCTCCCCGGCTTCCTCGGGATCTCCCAATCACTTTCACTCCAGCGGAAATTTGAGTTGCACCATGGCGGCTCAGAACCAGGCAGAGATGGACCACCACCATCACATGTACTCCCCTCCGCCTCCTTACTCCTCTTCCGGCTGCGGGGAGATGTACCAGGACCCCTCTGCGTTTTTGTCCACCTCTACCTGCTCCATCGCCTCTTACCCACCACCCTCCTACTCTTCGCCCAAGCAACCCGCAGAGGCGCCGGGGCTCTTCCCCATCATCCCCGACTACTCGGGCTTCTTCCAGCCTGCTTGCCAGAGGGACATGCACACGGCGAGTATCCAAGATCGGAAACCGTTCGGTCCATGTCCGCTCGATCCGTTCCGCGTCCCTCCACCCCTGACCCCGCTGAACACTATCAGGAACTTTACGCTGGGTCCGGGCGGTGGTGGCTCCGAGGGGGGTCCGCCGAGGCTCCCCTCTGCCTACAGCCCTCAGAACCTGCCCCTAAGGCCGATCCTGCGGCCCAGAAAGTACCCGAACAGACCCAGCAAGACGCCCATCCACGAGCGGCCGTACCCCTGTCCGGCAGACGGCTGCGACCGGCGGTTCTCCCGCTCCGACGAACTGACCAGACACATCCGCATCCACACTGGACACAAGCCGTTCCAGTGCCGCATCTGCATGCGCAACTTCAGTCGCAGCGACCACCTCACCACGCACATCCGCACGCACACGGGAGAAAAGCCGTTCGCGTGCGACTTCTGCGGCCGCAAATTCGCCCGCAGCGACGAGAGGAAGAGACACACTAAAATCCACCTGAGGCAGAAGGAGAGGAAGTCCTCCACCGTCTCCTCCTCGTCCTCCTCGTCCAGCAGCTCCGGGGTGGAGCGGCCGTCGGGCGCCATCAGCGCAGCTAGCGGGATTTGTTCATAGTTTCCCTGGAAAACGTTGTTGTCACCATGGCAGCGTGACGCACACTAACCTCTTAAAAGAAAAATAACTATTAAATAATTATTCTGAAACGGTTGTGAGATAGACTAAATACCAGGATGGGATTGAGCAAGAACTTCTGTGCGGTCGTGCGCAATTACGCACATCCACCCGTTCCTGATCCAGAACCGACAGAGAGACTGACACGAATGCACTTTGCCTGTACAGTCTACTGAAAACAAAAGTAAACACAGCCATTACTTCATAGGAATATACAAGGGCGGTTGTAATATAAAGTGGGTTGCTTAAATATCGCCAAACACATATTGAGCGCGCAACAGGCTGCGAGTTTAAATGTGTAATAACTGCAATAACGCTTTGAAGCAAGAGAACTGTTCTAAGTTATTGAATTGACGAAGTGTTTATTCTAACATGCTTGTTGATGACTATATGTTCCCTTTAGTGCCTTGCTGTGTGTCTTTTTTGTACACTGACATGGTTCAAGGACGCTTCTAATGCAATGTATATTTGTCCTTTAATATGTAAAGTTGGAAATCATTCTATTTTTGTACGCATTTCCTCTCGTGTAATTTCAAGTCAGTTGTGGTTCACGTGTAATACAATGTTGGAGTGTTAATCGTGTTGAACTCATACACTTCTTTTGTCGTGGTGTGTCTTTTGAGACTTATTAAATATACGTGGATGATAAACACAGCTGGTATCGGTTTGGTTTATTCCTCATCATGACTAACTAAAGCACAACAAGGGGCCATTGGGTGTCAGCGGAGATGCATTCGTGGAACCTAAACCGTCGCTGGGTTGAAAGTGGTGAATACAATTGTTTTATGTGTATATTTATATTTTTAAAAAACACTTGAGGATGGAAATCGGGGTAAAACCCGACTTGCGTCACCCGTGGCATTTGTGACTCGGAGTTTTCACCCACTCGTTTTTTATTTAGGTATCACTTCGGTTCTAAACAGGCGATGATCTGGTATGCACACTTTGTCAAAGTGAAGGTGACAAAAACAGACTGTCAAGCCAAACTTCAAATACACTTGCACAATAACAATATGTGATTATTTTTAAAATTTTAAAGGATGAGAGAAATACACCTTTAATTAGAGTACAGATGGACGGCATATCCACAGCATCCAGGCAGAACTGATGCAGCCCCCTCATTTTCTCACATATCATTTATTTAGTGAACAGTTAATCTGTTTTTCTTTAAAGGTTATTTCCATGTATGGAGGTTCTTCTGGAGAAATACCGGATCTTATATCGATATATTTACATTTATTTGTTCGTCTATTTGTCTTTTAAGCCTTAACATGAAACATATTGAGTTTAAAACACAAAAGTATTTCATTTTAAAAACTCTCCGGTTGCTAAAACCTAAAAATTCTCGGAATAAAATATGGAGGGAATGACTTCAGTGTTTAGGAACACTGAATTATAAATGTTTAAATTTGCTCCTTGAAATTCAGCAGGAACAAGCCGTTCATCATTCCAAACTTTTACCAGCTGATGTAAAATCAAAAAGTATTGTGTCTTTTGTGTGTGTGTGTGTGTGTGTGTGTGTGTTTTTATGTTGTGATATCTATATCATTTGTTGTGACTCATAATCTGGGCAGCTGTTTCCATTCCATTTACTAAATGTCTTTAGAACCATAAACACCAGGATGTGCTTCTTCTCAGGTGTAGCAGAGGCATTTATGGGACCTTCAGTTTTCACAATGGAACCGAGTTAATACTGAAGCTGTAGAGGAAACTTTACCAATAAGAACAATTCATTATTTCATTGTTAGGTGTGCACGGAAATATTGAAAATATAGAGTATCGCGACGTTATGTTATGTGGTACTGTATCGATCTTCAAAAACACTATAAATATTTAATAAATGTTTACATGCAAAGATGAACTATTTGATTTCAAAGATATGTGATCTCTCAAAGTAGTGCTGCTGTTGGATGTTACAGGCACTGAGATAAATGCAAATACAGATCTCACTGTTAAGACTTAAGACTGCATTAATAAGTCAACTTTATTTTACTCAGTTTTCATGCAGAAAGCAGTTTTCCTAAAATCTGATCTTAACAATTGCAGTATGGCCTTGCTTACAGTATGGCGGTATATTGAATGGTATCGCCTGTATCATGGTACGTATGGTATCGCCAGACTCTTGCCAAAACACAACGCATAAGGATTGTCATGACGATGCTATCTTTACACAGGAACGTCAGCAATAATGGATGAAAAAAGTCCAAGACTTTGGCTTTTGCTGATAAAAAATATTTATTGGCATTGCCCATCTCAATACATTTTTCGTTGTCATTTGTTTCTATTCAGCATATTTTTAGATTGTGATCATGCTCCTTTTGATCGGCTGTCACAGCTCGTGGCTCCAGTTCTAGAATGTTGCCAGCAGTCGATGACCAAGATGTAGCATTTTAAGGGGAGACTTCTCACCTGCTGCTCCCTTAACATAGTCTTGGTCTTCTTTCAGACTAGTGGAAAGAAAACATCCATTTTACCAATTTGTCTATTTGCGTCCGTAGATTTCTCCTAAATGTACCAAAAGTTACCATTAGATAATGCCTCATTTGCATATTTAATCACAACATTTGAGATAACTTGTAATAAAAGAAAGATATTGTCTTTATGTAATAAATCAACTGGGGAAGTGTCATGGTGGTATGTATTATTTAAACAGTTTACCCTATTCACCCGTAGTGTCTCCCTTAATAAACATTGACACTATGTGTGGATGGATTACTTTCTTTGGTAGTTCCTTGTAAACATCATTTACAAAAAGTGCCTGAATAAAGTATAGCTTTGGAGGTGATGGAAGGTGTAGTCTTCTAATGGATGTGTCTCAGACCTGTCCCTGCACTGCACACACAGATTAAAGAGATATTCATCTTCTTGATTGATTCTTGGGAAGATGTCCAACGAGCACAAGTGCCAGACTTTTGCTTTTAAGGAGCTCATGAAGCCTGCAATAATCTGTGACATCTTTATTCTTCTGACGCCAACTTGACCACAAGAACAAGTAAGCGGTACTGTAGAGAGTCATGATGAGCTGCACAAAGAGCACCACTGTTCTTCGCCCCCTCCTCTCCTCACTGACAGTCCGGTAACATTCGACTCTTACCCTCCGTATTCAGCATTTAGAAGCAGTAAACCAACATGTGGGTTATAACTCACTATAATGTAGTTGATACACTGTAAACCCGAATTTATTTCAAATTAAACTTTTGAGTAGTCATTACTTATACTTGCGTGTTTTGTAAAACAACTGTGTCATTACAAAATCTATTTAGTAGTTTGCACTAATCAACTGAAATATTGAGTGCAATGATCATGTTTAGCAGAGATAACTTGGTAGGTTACGTTTCTGTAAGGGGGGGGAGGGGCCCGTTTGAATTTCACTCGATTAAGCATTAGTGCCGTGTGCAGCGCAGTGACGAGCCCAGAGGAGTCCTGCGTCCGACCGCGAAACCTATCCTGGCTTTTGACGGAGCTGCGGGATTTCTGCAACAACTTTGAACCAAGTGGAATGGTGAGTGTGTACTCTCACCATATTGACTGTAACGTTAGATATCATTCTGGGAGCATTTATTTCAACAAGTAAGCTAAACGCTAACGTTAGCATGCTAACGATTTTCTGTGGGTCCAGTTTATAACTTTAACACGTGTTTGCATGTGCTGTGTTTTAAGCTAGCTGACAATAACGTTACTTTAGCTTTTCAAAATGGTGTTTGGTTAGGTTGCGCAGGAGTTATTTATTGCATTTATAGCAGTAACTTAGCTAGCTTCTCAAGGCACGAGGTCATTAGTTGGTTATTAGCAGAGGCTGGGTAACGTTTTGCAGTGATGTTAATGTTACTGGAACTGGGTTGTTGAACTGAAAGTTGAGCCAATAGTTTTCTTCTTGTTTTCACAGGTTCTTGTGAAGATGCAATGGAAGTGTACATATTGTGAGTTCATAAGTCGGCTCAGGTCGCCCCCGGATCGCGCACCGTCAAACAGCGGACTCGCTGCGGACACCGGGGTATCCACACATCAAACGCGTCTTTTTCCCCCCGTTCAAATACTGCAGGCAGGTAAAAGGCAGCCTACCATTAGGACCCAGGCAACAGGGGGCATACAATACAATGGGGTGGGAGGTTCACCTTTCCTCCTGAACTCAGACAAACCTGAGAGAGCAGCTGATCTACCTCGAGGCCAGCCTTTGTTCGGTAAGTTATCTTTCCTTTTTTAAACATGTTTAAAAGCATGATTTTAAGAGTGAAATTGTAGAAAAAACATTCTGTAAAGTGTTAACAGTACTTTTTTGATCCATTTTAAATTTCCTCCCTGGCAACCATCGGAGGACATGACACAAAACGGGTTACATGGAACATCTTGCCCGCATGTTCAACGATGATGTTGGGAAGAGAATGAACTGGAAAGGGATAAATGGGAAAAAGTCCTTCAGCCAGATGGAGTCCAAGACTTTGCTCCTGGTAAGTAACTGTAATATTTAATGAAAACAATCTGAAGTCACCCAGAGGTCTTAGGTCGTGTTCAAACTTACAAATTCTCTTTGCAACTTCAACTTCATTCTCTGCTCAGGTAGATATTACTCGACTAAATCTTTACATAATAGTTATATGATATATTAGCTCTGAATATAGCATAGCAAACCTTTACATGCCAGACAGCCACTAGCTTTTAGACTGCATGTCTGCTATATGTTGCACTGAGGGTTCATGGGATTTTGTATGATCTGCTTGTGATTACAGATGCTGTCGAAAGAATCATGTCTCACGTGCCGCCACAAATGATGAGAGTGTGAAACAGCAATGAGGTTCAACCTGGCAGCAGACAGGGGAAGCTCCAGGAGGCGTGCCACAGTCAGCATCCCTACTGAACAAGCCTAAACATGTATGTGTTATACATGTGATACATGCGATGTTTTAAAATCCTGTTTTTGATACTATTCATTGCAGAGTTTGCTATCTGTTTAGGTCTTATATGCAGAGACACCTCAACTGTGGAGTCTGCTAGCCCCTCCAAACCAAGCCTCACATGGTTTTAATCCCCCTTTGTCACCAAAGACTCTCAGGAAATGTTTAACTACTAAGATACTTATTTTGAATTATGTTATAAGTTTGTTGAATGAGGAGTAGGAATGTTCCACCACTTGTGTTTTACAGTGTATGCTCAGGACTGCTTGTGTTCAGTTGTTTCGATATGTTTAACCCAGTTCCTCTGTCCTTATCCAGTCAAGTTGTAATGTCTGCATGTGAATAGTCATTCACAAGGCACCGTTACTGTGTAATGCTGCATTTCTTCTCTCGACAAGTTGGAATTTCTTTCAGTTTTAACAGTTACAATGCAATGTTTTGAAAAAATAAAACACATTGGAACATTAAAATGTATTGTTTAATTTCTTTCCTTCTGTACAATTTTCTTGAAACAATACATTAAATCTCAAAATCAAATAGTATAATTAATTTAATTAAAAGTAAAGACATTACTTAAATAAACTAATGGTCTTAAGTAGCAATAAATAATGTTATATTAGTGATTTGTTTATATATGCTTATGTATGTTGAACTTAAAATAGTTATTTCATTAAACTTACACTAAAGAAAAAATAATTCAAGTGAACTAATGATTTTTAGTAAAGATTACTAATGTGGACTTAAATTTGTCTACTGCATTCATTAAGGTTCTATGTTAACACAACTTGATCTGTTTAGTTCCTCCATTTGTAAAAACATGGTTTGAGGCAACGGGTTTCCACGCGGTTTTCTAGTAAAGTCAACTAGTTCGGGCTAATAGTGTAGCAGATATATGGATGGCTTAAGGGTTTCTTAGTATTGTCAGCAATTATAACTCATTACAACTGTCATCATTCATTCTCTTTACACAGCAGCTTCACTTCTGAATCACAATCCCATGTATTGCCGCGTAGGTTTTCACATTCAAGGAGTTAGAATATTGGTGCTTAACATAAACATAGTAAGACAAATAAGAATATGTATAACAGCAAGTATTGCAAAAATCAAGAAACAAATATAGAAGCAAAAAAACATTGAAAATGTTAAAATACAGCAAAATATAGAATAGTAAATATAAATAAATAAAATACAGTCAAAATATGTAAGAGCTACAAGAATAATTAAAGCTGCAAGCAGCATTGATCGGGCCCTCGCAAACTTCACGCATGTCGAGTGTACTGGCAGGACTCTGGTTGACACGGCCGTGCATTTCTGTGACCATCATACACAGCTCCTGGAAATTGCAAAAACGACACTAAAAATTCATACAAAGTTTAAAATGGCTGCCTTCAGGTTGGGTTTAGAGCAGAGGTCTTCAACAGGGGGTCCGCGACCCCTAGGGGGTCCGCGGAGGTACTGCAGGGGGTCTGCGAAATTTCTGGTTGATTAGACAATTTACATTGTTTTTTGAGCTATTGAGCTGATTTGCCACTCTGAACCAATAAAATCATATTATATAACTAAATTCTGGGCTTGTAATCTGCTTGCCAAGTTTGCTTATGTTTCGAGCATTTCTAGCCTCTCAAAATTACCTTCGTTTTTCACGGCGGAGACTGCGTCACCACGGCAACGGCGTTCGACGAAACATCAAAAGCTTCATGAACTAGCATTATGAACTTCTTACATTTGTGTGGAAGTAATTTGATGTTGATTTGATTTACCTACGAAGAGAAACAAGCCAAAGTATAAAGACTAACTTCCTGTTACCAGTAGGTGGCGCTATGACTATGATTCAAAATTTGCCTGCAGATGTCTTCAAGCCCGGAGTCTAATCAAACATGTGAAATCTGGTAAAGATCTGATGATGTGGACTCGAGTTACATCAGTTTATTCGTTCATGGCGAAGGATCGAAATTCGCCGAGCCGCCACGTCGCTGCCCTTCAACAACTTCTTACAATCTTCACAATGAAGCATTATCAAGGTCTTAAGGCTGTTCTGACAACATTTTATAGGGATCTGATTAATCTGTGAGGAGCAGGATGTCAAAGTACAAAACGTACAACTTCCAGTTGCCACTAGGTGGCACTATTACTATGATTCTAAATTATCATATAGATCGGTTCCGGGTCAGGATGTTATGACATAAGAGAGATGTGGAGCAGATTAGACAATGTACGGCCGAGTTACAACAACTTCCTGTTTCGCGGCGAATGGTGTTTTTTTGACGCCGCGCCACGGATACATAGTTCGATAACTTTTTGATCTTTGAGTAACTTTTCACTGCCAAGGTCTCAAGAGCATACTGACCAAATCTGAAGTCAATCGGGTTAAATCTCTAGGAGGAGTTCGTTAAAGTACGACGCCTTGAAACAGTCCAAAAACATCATAAAATTCAAAATGGCCGACTTCCTGTTTGGTTTAGAGAAAAATTCCAAGAGGATTTTTTTGTACGTCCCATCACGATCCACATACCTACCAAATTTCATACAGCTAGGTGAAACCCAATGTTGGGGCTACTCAATAGGGGGCGCTATCGAGCCAATATTTCATACCGCAGCTGGACACCCCAATCAGACTGCAATTTTCGCAAATTCTGGCTTGCGTGCCAAATTTAAAAAAATTCCCAGTATCCCAAGCACCTCTTTTTTGCAACGAAACACGCGCGATAATAAACATTAGAATAACAATAGGTCCTCCGCTCGGACTACGTCGGTGCTCGGGCCCTAATGAATATTGAATAGAGGAACAAAATATTTGAAATATGAAAAAATACTATAACAATTATGTAGGACATATAATAAACATAATTAGTGAAGAAAACAAACGTGAAAAAATATAATACAAAATATTTAAAAAGATGAATCAACAATGTAAATATAGAACAGAAGAAAACAACACTACAAATGTTGAGAAACGTGAAATATATCTGCATAAAATATATTGTAATTAATACATTAATAAACACGTATATCTGCTTACATTTGACATTATAGTGTGTTTATTGAATATGTGCTGTTATGAATGCTCAATGGGAGGACTTTGAGTCCTTCTGGGCTGAGTTGTGTTTTTGTTCATGGTGGTCAGTGAGCACTACACCTGCACTGGTCCTATCACCTTGTTGAATGTTCATGTTAATGTTACTGATGGCAGATCATTGAACATTTCCCAATAAATATAAGCAGTCGTTAGTGACTGTTATATTCAGAGAGGGGGATAACCAGTAAGGGACAAAAAGACACACATATCTGAAATCTGCACTGGCGGCCGCCAATAAATGTCTTTTCTTGTTGGAGCTGCACCACAAGTCTCCCCCATGCCGATATACTGATAGACTTTACACTGGAAAGTGAGGATAATTGCATTTAATATGAGCCACAGCCACTGACCTGACTGTGACTGTCACTGTGTCCTCTGCAGGGCCTTGAGTGACAGCCTCTAAGCATGTGTGTGTGTGTGTGAACATGCAGACATGATTAAAGGCACTATATTATATTAAATGATATTTTACTTGAAAGACAACGTAAATCGAGTGAACCAATACGGCGTGTAACAAAAGAATCTAAGAAGAAGAAAATTAAGCTTTTAGGACAGATATAGATATTTGTTTAAATATTGAACTTTACACAGATTTAAATTAGATTTACATATTGACAATAATGTTGTCAATTGACAATAAGTTCTGCCACAAGTCCCTCTATTGTGTTGAAGTGTGGGAGAAGACTTGGCCTGTCCGGACGTTGACCTTTGTGCTCTTCTTTTCTTTGAAGCTTTCTCTGTTTGAGGGTCATTGTCCTGCTGGCCGTTAATCCGCTCAGTCTCTTCTCCTGCACACAGTCAAGCTCTAAATATAACATAAACATCTCCTTTCATATTCAACTTTTTAGTTTTGTTACACTAACCTCCAGTGTAACATTCACAGCATTGACCCTCATACCAACGTGTTTAACATTTAACGTGTTTAATCATGAAACTTGTATCTTCTCAAAACATCATCAGTTCCGTTATTATTGTCACCTGGAGGAAACGGAATAACAGATGATTATTATTTTCGGAATTTTGCAGCTAATTAGCATATTGTGTAAAAATGAAAATAGACAGAGCACATGAGGACTTGTGTGTCTGCCCCGACCTCCCTGATAGTGATACTTTAAATGTAGCTATTCTATTTCATCGACGGGACTTTGGCATCGGAAGTGTTCTGGTTCTCCGTTTGTTGTCCGTGTCACCAATCGACCAATCACGTCGGAGCAGGCTGTGGTTGAATGCAGGTGTCGGCGTGGAAATCAAAAGAGGTAAAACGCATTGAAATGCACTCTGGGAAATCATCAGCGGTCGTCTGACGATGATGTAGCTTTAAATTGGTTTCAAATTAGCTCGTGAAACAATCCCTTCACACGTGTCTTCTCTCAACTGCAGTCTTGTGTCTCAAGATGCTGATCAGACAACGAGCAACGCACGGAGAAGGAAGTCTTGGCCCGGAGAGTTTACACCGGAAATATGGGCCCTCGCCCCCAGAGGGTAATCACCATCGGACCAATAGCTAAATAATAATTCTTTAAAAAGCATTAATAAAATAAAAGATGAAACATTGAAATAGAACAAAGTACCTGTGAGATATGACAACAAGTATCGCTCTGGGGTCCACGGGGAAGATCTTCAGTAAGATGAGGATCGAGGACCCCATGGTCTGTGAGCCAATGGAGCGCTTAGCATGTTGTCTGTCACCAATCCCAAAAGCCACAGTAAATGTTGTTTCTTATTGTGTGTCTGGTGTAAAACAAATACTAGAAGGGGGACAAACACTGGGCCTGATCTAACACCAACTCACTGGCTGATGTTGGGCTGTTGGTGTAGGAGATGTTAGCCTGTTCGGTAGCAGATCTCGTTTTACAGATTATAATATCATATATAGATCATATAATATGATATCATCAGTTAGTGTTTTGAATATTCAGTGACTTGTGTGTAAACTCATATGGATAAATACAACATGTTCAAACGGGATGAGAAAGTAATGGATTTCACTTCCTCACAGGTGGTAAATGTTTCTGCATTGTTATATCTTCCTCCTGAGCTGAGTCGGTGTGAGAGTGAAGCCATTCGCTCGTCTTCTTTTTGGATGACCCGGATGAAGACCACCAGCCCAAACGTGTTGGTCCGACAGTTGCTGGACTTACCGGAACATCAAGGGAACAGGACCATGATGAATGTCATTGATTACACCTGTCAAAATATCTTCCATGAGCAAACGTCCCTCAGATACTTGAAAGTTATCACGAGGAACATTCTTATTTAGTGTTGAGTTCGGCGGTCGCTCTGTGGACAAACCCGTGAAGTGTCTCCGAGCACCAGAGTCCCTTTAGAAAACCTCTCGTTCTACCGCTGCAACCATATAGAAATATAGAATCTTCTCACTGCGTTGGTATTACATTGAGCCTGTTTCATGAAAGCACCATGTGTGCTGGTGTAACAGAGTTTTGACTGAATCTTTATTTTTATTTACTTGTGTCCAGGTTGTGTGGTGACAAGCACCAGACACACAAAGTGAGCCCGCCGAACATGTTGTGCATTCTAGCCGTGACTTTCATCACCAATTTATGCATGTTTTTTTATTATAAAATAAAACATTTACCTTCAGAGAGTATGCTATTTCTCTCCTTACTAAACCAAAAACCTGTACTTATTTGAACTATCCCACTATATTTAGAATAAATATAACACAAATATCTGCAATTGTTATCTTTATCAACTTTAAAAGGCAAACAGAATCTACATGTGTGAGCTCAGACTGCACACTGAAGCCTTGACTAATACACTGGTGGTCCACGTGTCCTCCTGCTGGGGTCTGAGGCAGCATGTGGCGCTCTGTTAACTTTGGTAAACTAGCATCTACTGCTAACGGGCACATGGCTAAAGGTTTCCGGGCAGAACTCGTGCAGCGCTTGTGAACTTTCCGCATAACCAGTAAAAATAAACGGACTACGATGGAAGAAATAATTCACCTTTGATGAAAAATCAGTCTTGAGACGGAGCTCCTCCACCAATGCTTTAATTTCACAAGGATCGGATTAAAACCCAGAAAGTGTTGAACTTCAGTACGGTGGTAAAATTGATCCAACTGTTTTCTTTGAACGTACTTTGACTCATGTGAAGCTGATCTATGAAACTCTACATTACAAGGCACCATCTGCAGCGCTGGTTGTTCTGAACATCACCAACACTACAGGACCAGAGTAGAGAGACAGCACGCCAGCTAGATGCTCCACGGTTATTCCCATCGACTTTATTGATCCACATACTGTACATTCAACATCAGAGGAACAGAATCTTTGTCAAACTGGCACCAGACCCGTGTGCAGTCTAACATCGGCCTGAAGCAGCCGCTGGACTGCAGAGATGTGAGCTACAGTGACATGTAGACTGTGTTCAGTGATACGGTGTTCATCAAGCTAAAGGCAGTGACGAGTGGAAGTGTGTCGGCTTTAGGGCATGCAAACGTCCTCAAATAAATGTCCTAAATATTAAGCATCATACAGACCATATCAGAGCTGGGCAGTGGCTAAGCAGAGAGCAGGATCATCCTTCAATCAGAGGATCGGCGGTTCAATCCCCGGCTCCGCTAGCCGCATGTCGATGTGTCCTTGAGCAAGACACTGAACCCCAAAAGGACTCCCGTAGCGCCTACGGTGAATGAGTTAGTCTGATAGGCAGGTGGCACTTAGCCCGTCATCAGTGTGTGAACGGGTGAATGACATGTAGAGTGAAAGTGCTGAGTGGTCGGAAAGACTAGAGAAGCTCTATACAAGTACAGTCTATTTACCAGTTATTGATATTAAATCCATATGTTGATACGAGAGGTACTGCCTCTTTAGATATGGTAATGTGGCACAAGTGTTGTCTTCTCCCGGTTTGACAGGCTGCATCACAGTAAAGTCATTTTCTGAGCAGGAATGTTCTATCATTTGCCTTCACGCACTAAGTCATTACAGCCACATGGAAGCACCAATGGTCAACCCGTACAATATCTTGGCAATATCGATCGAGGTATTTATTCCAAAATATTGTGATATTTGATTTTCTCCTCATCGCCCGTCCACTGGCCGCATCACTCTGTATTAGATTACAGTAGAAATGACATCACAGAATATCGTCGCTGTCGAGCGGAAACCTTGTAGCTCCATGTTTCATCTTTCATTTTTCTTGTGCTATTGGTCAGTCTGTGAATCTTCACAAACATTTCAACCAATGAAAAACATTAAAAAGAGCTTGTGACTTCACATTTGCTCCTTAGCGGCGTGTTGCGACCGCTGGCTTGAGGTGGTCTTGGAAAGACGTCCCCTCGCCTGGACCTCGTGCTCAGTTAAAACTACACAGTGCAGCTTCTCATCACATGTGACTCTGACGTTGTGATTATGGATGGAGGAGTTCGCTGAGAGCACTAGCGCAGCTAGCTAGCGATGTGAGCTCGTCTGAGTGGCTGTTCTAATCAATGACATATCTGGACATTCGCGAGTTAAAAACCTTGTAACTCCATTTGAGCTTGATTTGGGGGGAAACATTAATAACATAACGTTGACGATGCTGCGTTTCCTGAACAGTAACTCTTTTGGACTCATGGTTTCCACCCAACAGCAACAATATGTAGAGTAGTATGTAGCTGAACATCTGCTGATTTTCCCTCAAATGGTTAGACCTGTGTAGGAACATATAATAAAAATAAACTATATAT